AGTGTGAAGTGTGTAGAGACCAGAGCCCGGCTCAGCGGTAAAGGTGGCCAGAGGCGCGTACGTGTCCCTGTCGACAGAAACCGCAGTCTCGCCGGAAGGCTCAATCCACACACCCACGTGACTACTCACGAGCGGCCTCACACCCACCAAGTTCCTGGAGAACGAGGGGACGTGGAAGCCCGTCAGGAAACCTGAAGGAACTGCTGGGCACGGGAGCGTAGTAGTGTAGCGAGCAGTGACTGGTTCCGAAGTGGGATCAGCCGTGGTACAGAGACCGGCGCAGGAAGCGAAGTAAGCGTCGTGTGGTTGTGGAAGAAACAGTGCGAAGCTCCGGAGTCCAGATTGAAAGACAGCAAAGTGTCCTCCGGGGCAGCTCCTAGACTAGTGTCTACACAAGTACCTACGCTAGCAACAGACACCTCAACAACACTAGCACCTAAGCTAAGAACACTCGAGTAAACAGAGTCAGAAGCACTAGCGTCAACAACATCATACAAAGCAGGAGGAGTTCCTAAGAGATCAACCAACTGAGAAGCCGACATGCCCCACAGAGCGGGGCCGTACGTCTGAACAAGGGGAAGCCAGTCAGGGACAGGGCCGCCAACGCCGTAGGCCGCACGAAATGTGTCAGTGAGCCGAGCAAAGCACTGGCCCGGTGGGTGGGTGCGGCCACAGGGGAGGCCTCGGCGAGCACCTGTCTGAACGAGATAGGTGCAGGGAGGATGGACGGCACCACGCGACGGCTGACGCGGTCCTGACCCCTGCCCCGGAGTTTGCTGCTGCCGTTGCTGCTGCTGTGGCTGCTGCGAGAGGAGTGGCTACTGCTGCTGCTGCCGCTAAGTCAGGTACCAAGCTGCCACTCCAGCACCTGCAGCTGGTGGACCAGCAGGTGCCTGACGAACCCGAGCGTCACCTCCACCAGCTGCAGTAGGGGAGTCACTAGCCGCTGCATGAGTGGCTCGTCCAACCTCTGTACTCCCGCCACCACCGCTCGCCACGCCACCTCCGCCGCCTCCACCCGCACCCTGACCGCCTCTCCTGCCACTCCTACCCCTAGACTGCGAAGAAGTCGTAATAGCAGCTGCGTTCACGTCAGTAGCGGTAGTGGCGAGGGAGGCAGTAAAGGTGGGCAACTGAGGGACAGTGCACCCGTGAAACAGTGGAGGGGGCACAGCACCAGAGGCGGAGGCTACCGATCGGAGGTTGCTCTCGACGTCCTTGAGGGCAGACTCAAGGACCTCGTAGTGAGCTCGCTAGGGTGCTTCAGAAGAAGCGCGTCACGAACCGAGGCAAGGCGGTCAGGGAGGCTAGTGGCGATGAAATAGATAGTAATCGCCATAGGGGGAGGGAGTAGTGCAAGCTATGTGTCAGTGCAAGCAGCGCAGTAGCTAGAATCGAGCGAGCGCAGGTGAGTGATCAAGTCAGCAGAGCGTTCAAACGAGGCGAGGTCAGGAAACAGGAACGGGAGGAACAGGCGACCAAGAGAGACAGTGGTGGGAGTAGCGTAGCGGGCCTTGATCGCAGTCAGAAACTCACTAGCGGTGCGAACCTGAGTGAAGTGGGCCTCCTCAGACTTAGGGAGGAGGCTGCTGAGGGCGATGCAGGCCGCAGCGTCACGCGACTTCCACGCTGTCAGGTCAGCATGCTGGCGGGCATAACGATCTCTGTCTGCACTGCTTGGGTCAGCGCCTAAGGGTGCAGGGTCGTCGGGCTTAGGAAGGTCGCCGAAAGCGTGCGCCCACAGAGACTCATCTGCCTGAACCTGACTCTCTAAAAGGCGGCGTGCACGCAGGAGCCAGACCGAGAACTTGAGCGGCCTACCCCCGGCGTCAAAGCGCAGGAACCTAGGGGTCCATAGCGGAAGCAAAGAGGTGGGAAGTGCTGCTGACGAAACCCTAAACACTTAGAGCGGCGTAGTAGGGCGTGACTAGCAGAGTTAGAGGCCTAGGGTGCTACGGGACGCAGGGTAGAGCGCGACACGGCGGGACTAGAAGGGCGCGGCGCTACGGGCAGGGGTAGCGCGATGTAACGGGACAGGCATGTTAGAATCTAGAGACAGGAATGAATGCACTATGGAAGAGTTGGGTACAAGTATGAAACCCTAAATGGGGCTGTACCCCATATTGGCTACCCCACTACAGCCTACACATATATAACATGCATATACTTTGACACACCCCCATAAGCAAAGTGGGGGAGAACAAGGGGTCACAAGACCAGTCAAGAGAAGCAAAGCAAGCTCAGGGTGGATCACAACGTCACCACACACACTGAGCACAAGCAAAGGGCCACAAGGCCAGTTCACATGCAGAGGTATATATGCAACAACGGTAGCACAGTGATCTCTACCTAGCAGAGCAAGCATGCAGGTATATATATAGATCACAGTACAGGCAAAGTCTACAGCAAGTGAGGAAACGTGAGAACAAGGCCTAACAAAGTACAAAAACGCTGATGATCACCAGACGGAAGTGCCTTGGTGAATATATCAGCAGTTTTGGCCCGAGTGGCCACGTGAACAAGACGAAGCTGACCACGCTGCTGCAACTCTCGAGCAAGGAAGTAACGCAGAGCGATGTGCTTCGTTCTGTGCTCCAGTCTGTGCTTCTGACACAAGGCAATGGCGGCCTTGTTGTCGACGTACAGCACTGGAGGAGAACGAGGCCGCTCTCCCAAGTCGGTCAGCAGGTAGGTGAGCCAGCGTAGCTCCTGTGCAGCCATGGTTGTGGCGTAGATCTCAAGCCTCACAACTGGAGCCGAGAACTGAAGACGAGCGTGTAGAACGCCAGGAAACTGAACCAGAGCCAAGGCTGAAGGTGTAACCCTGTGACGACCGCTGCGTAGCCTGGTCGTCAACCCAAGAAGAGTCCGAGTGCCCAGTGAGGACAACGTCGCCCCGTCCTCCAAGCACGAGCCCCATGCCCGATGTACTGCACAAGTAGCGTAGTACCCTCTTAGCAGCATACATGTGCACCTTTCGGTGCCGACCAGGAGCCACGTAGCGAGCCAGAAGGCCAAGAGGGTACGCAAGGTCAGGACGAGTGCAGGTCATCAGGTACATGAGGCAGCCCACTAGCTCTGGGTAAGGACCACTCGGCTCCACGGACTCGTCCGAAGGTGGAGCTGAGAGCGAGTGACCTGTAGCCAGAGGAGTGGCCTGTGCCGAGGACCAGGTGAAGCCGAAGCACTGAAGGACCTGCTGCACCATGTGTGACTGAGTCAGTGTGATGGTGCGGTGTGCTCTGTCCCGGGTGATCTGCAAGCCAAGGTAACTGCGCAGCTCACCCAGGTCTATGCACGTGTGTCTCTTCTGCAGCTCCGACTTCACCAGGGCGAGAGCCTCAGTGTCAGCAGTGGCAAAGACCAAGTCGTCGACGTACACGAGGATGTAGAACGGCGGCAGCAAAGTGTCGGTGCGCAGAAACAGCGACGGGTCAGCAGTCGACGGAGCAAACCCAAGAGCAGCAAGTGTCGTCCTCAGTGTCTCGTGCCACTCACGTGGCGCCTGGCGGAGACCGTAGACCGGCCGCCGGAGGCTCCACTGGGTAGCAAGAGGAAACGACCCAGTGAAGCCAGGAGGGCGGCGCAGCCAGATCTCCTCGTCAAGAGAGTGAAGCTTGTAGTCACGCTGAGCGGCAACGTGTAGCAGCACCCAAAGAGTGGTCATCTTCGGGGTGGGGGAGAAGGTCTGGAAGAAGTTTACTCCCTCTCGCTGACTGAAACCTCGAGCAACGTAACGAGCCTTGAAGACAGGCGGAGAACCTGGCGGCCGCTTCACCCTGAAAATCCACATGCCATCGACGATGTTCGCCCCAGGAGGGGAACCTCGTCAACGTAGGTGCCTGTGGACTTCCAGGATGCCATCTCTGCATCCATGGCTGTCTGCCACTGAGGGGAGTACTCACCCGCGATCGCCTCAGCGTAAGAGCACGGGGTCGGGATGTTTGGAGCATCCGGGTCTCCCTCAGGGGCAAGAAGCATGGACACGAGATGAGGCGCAGCGGCTGCAAGACACTCAAAGTCCTCGTGCCTGTCCTCAAGGACGTCCGTGCCAAGAGCACACTCACCCCCGACGAACGGAGGACAGACAGACTCAGACTCAGCAACAAGACTAGCAGCGTAGTCTAGACGACAGGCAGCAGCAAAGTCAACAAGCTCAGCGACTAAGGCAGACACAGCAGCAGACTCAACGACGGGTCAGTGACAACAGTGGCTAGCAGACGCGTGACAGTAGGGTGAGTAGCACGAGCGCGGTCAGACTCAGGCTCTGGAACGTCAGGCAGAGAAGAAGCAGGAGGGGACGGCAGGGGAACACGCTGCGGAGCAGAGGAAGGACGCAGGGCCATGAGGTGTGTGCCGGGGACAGCCGGCGGACGCTCACGAGGAACACGGCGACCAGTACAACCAGTGCGAACAGTGCGAACAGGCGAGACAAGACGAGACGCAGGCTCACGACGCTCAGCAAGACCACCTGTCAGCTCAGTGTAAGGAGAAGGAGCAGGCAGCGGTGAGCCAGGCTGTAACGGAAGACCAGTAGAAGGCGGGAGGCTAAGAACCTGGCGAAGCACGGAGCCAGGCGGTGGCAGAGACGAAGGTGACGGCGGAGCGAAGAACAGTCGAGGCGTTGCAGTGACACCAGCACCAGTAGCTCCAGCACCTCCTGCAGCTCCAGAACCTCCAGCGCCAGCACCCGCAGCAACTCCAGAACCTCCAGCTCCGGCGCCACCAGCGCCAGCACCTCCAACAGCTCCAGAACCTTCAGCGCCAGCACCCGCAGCAGCTCCAGAACCTCCAGCTCCAGTGCCACCAGCGCCAGCACCTCCAACAGCTCCAGAACCTCCAGCGCTAGCACCCGCAGTAGCTCCAGAACCTCCAGTAGAAACAACTCCAGTAGCAGAGTCACCAGCTCCAGCGCCTCCCGCAGCAGGGCCCCTAGCTCCAGCAGCGCGACCCTGACGGCTAACGTACCACTCACGCAGCTGCTGTGGGGAGAGAGGGAGTCAACGACGAGAGTGCAGCGGCGAGGCACCAGCGGAGCGACTACGGAGATGGCCGCTCCAGGGAGACTGCTCACCAGACGCCTCAGCGCCCCCAGGTGCAGCACCCCCAGACTCAGTACCCCCAGGCTCAGCACCCCCAGACTCCTCACGCCCAGGCTCGGCACCTCCAGGCTCCGCACCCCCAGGCTTCGCACCCCCAGGCTCCGCACCCCCAGGCTCAGCACCCCCAGAAGCAGCACCCCGAGCAGGACCACCCTCAGCAGGACCTGAGTCACTAGTGACCTCAACCGGCACAGTCAAGGGAGGAGGGTCTACCTGAGACACACCTGAAGGAGCAGGACCGGGAGCGGGGAGGGGGTCTACCTGGGGAGCACCTGGAGCGAGGAAGAGTGGCGGGGGGGGGAGAGGTGCAGTGCGGTAGGGGAAGAGACGGTAAAAGGGAACCGACTCGTCGAACGTGACGTCCTGAGAGGGGAAGACACGGCGCGAGGTGGGGTGGTAAAACTGCCAACCAGGCGCGTTAGGGACAAAGCCAAGGAAGACACAGGGAACAGCACGGGCGGAGAGCTTGTCCGCGGTGGTATCGAGGACAAAGGCACGAGAACCCCAGACCCAGAACACCGACGCATTGCCAACCTCCCCCGTCCACCGTAGTGTGGGCGAGGTCTCCGGCAAGGAGACACGGGGCCAGAGGTTGAGCTGATGCTCGGCGTAGCGGACCGCAAACGGCCACAGAAAATGGGGGGCAGCCGCATGGACCATGGAGGTACGAGCGACCTCCATGACCAAGCCAATGCGGCGCTCAGCAACCCCATTCTGCTGCGGAGAGGCCGGAAGCGTGAACGTCTGGCGAATTCCCTCCCCACGACAAAAGCTCTGCCGAAGGTCGGAGAAAAACTCCCCAACTCTGTCAAAGTGCAGACGCAGGACGGGAAACTCCGTCCTGAACCGCTCGCGGAGCTGGAGACGGGCAGCGCGGATCCAAGGGATCAAAACATCAGGGACCTCACCCTTGGTGCGCAAGGGGAAGACCGTGGTGTAACGCGAGTAGTCGTCAGCAACTAGCAGGAAGTACCACTCGCGGTCCTGTCCACTGACGCGGGCTGGGCCCCACACGTCCATGTGCAGGGTCTGCAGGGGAGCAGTCGTCGGATGAAACGAGGAGGAGTGAGGAGCGGCGCGCTGCCGCCCCTCGACACAGGGAAGACAGGGAGGAGCAGGCGAGGGTGGGAGGGGAGGGAGAACCCTGGGAAGACCAGAGAGAAGGACACGGCGGTGCATGCTACGAAGGCGTTGCACCGATGGGTGACCAAGGCGGTGGTGCCAAAGGAGGGTCTGGTGCGACAAAGCACGACACGAGCAGGGGGCCGCTAGCTGACCTGACGCAGACGCAGACGCAGCGACCTGAGGGGACACAGTAGTCAGTGTGTACAGACTCGAGCCAGGCGCACGGGTAAACGTGGCCAGGTGCCGGCCCGTCCGGGACCAGCACCTAGAGAAGGAGACGCACTAGCACCTAAAGCAGCAGCCTCACCAGCACCTAGAGCAGGAGACACAATAGCACCCAGAGCAGCAGTCTCACCAGCACCTAGAGCAGCAGACTCTATACCTGGGTCAGGCGGCACGCACAGGTAACAGGCACCGTCAGCACTAGTAGGCAATGCATACATGGCAGTGAGAATAGCATCATAGTCAAGAGCAAAGATATCTACCCTCTTCCTAAGCAGCTCCAGCCAGGTGGGGAGCTCAGCCTTGTCGCCAAACTCGGTACGCCAGGCGTCACTCAGACAGGCGAAGCAGCGGGACTGTGTGTGACCAAGCGTCCCGCAAGCCTGACCAGCCCGATCACCTGTGCGAATGACGTACGGGCAGCGAACGGTACTCCAAGACCCTCTACTCTGAGCGTACCGCTCACGAAGCTGCTGGGGCGTAAGTGTCTCGCGCGGACGCCGCTGCAGCTGCAGCTGGCCACTGCCAGACGCTCCCGACTGACCAGCTCCAGGGCGACAGCCACGACGGCTACCGCCACAACCCCAACTTGCGTACCACTCACGAAGCTGCTGGGGCGTGAGAGACTCGCGCGGACGTCGCTGGAGCTGCATCTGGCCACCGCCAGTAGCAGCAGTAGTAGTAGTAGCAGCTGTAGCAGCAGCAGCAGCAGCCTAGTAGCAGTAACAGAAGTAGCAGCAGTGGTAGCGCGGGCAGGGCAGGCGCGGCAGGCAGGTAGGCAGGCAGGCATCCAGGGGCGGGGGCGTCGCGACAGGCCGAGGCGACGTCCAGGTGGGGGGGCGCCGCGACGAACAGGGGCAGCCGCGGCGCGCGGGGCTGCAACGGGCTACGCGAGCTGCGGGCGCGGCGCGCGAAGCTGCAGCGGGGTGCGCGAGGACGGCAGCCGCGGCCCGCGGGGCTGCAGCGCGACGCGCGGGCAGCGGACGCGACGCGCGGGGCTGCAGCAAGCAGCGCGGGCTGCGGACGCGGCGCGTGGAGCAGCAGCGAGCCGCGCGCGGGCTGCCGAGGCGCGACTCGGGCAGCTTGGGCGACGCGCGGGGCAAAAACCGGGCTGCGCGCAGGAATCAGGTCTGCGCGCTCTAAGCAGCAGCAGACCGCTCAGTCAGCAGACAGCAGGCAGCAGGCAGACGGCGCGCGCAGCGCAGCACGTCACAGGCACAATCACAGTCACAGTCGTGGGGTAGCGGTAGGTGGGCCCGAAAAAAAAGACGGTCCTACGGACCTACTGCTCTGAAACCATGTTAGAATCTAGAGACAGGAATGAATGCACTATGGAAGAGTTGGGTACAAGTATGAAACCCTAAACGGGGCTGTACCCCATATTGGCTACCCCACTACAGCCTACACATATATAACATGCATATACTTTGACAAGGTAGCGCGACGCGACTGGACAAGACGGGCAGGCGCGACGCGGCGGGACGGGATGGGCAGCGCGACGCGAACGGACAGCACGACGCTACGGGACGGGACGGGACGGACGGCGCGACGCGGCGGGATGGACAGGCGCGGCGCATGCGACGGGACGGGACGGACGCGACGCGACGGGACATCGTGACGAGACGGGACAGCAGGGGCGACGGGACAGCAGGGGTGACGAGACAGCAGGGGTGACGGGACAGCAGGGGCGACGGGACAGCAGGGGCGACGGGACAGCAGGGGCGACGGGACAGCAGCGGCGACGGGACAGCAGCGGCGACGGGACAGCAGGGGCGACGGGACAGCAGGGACGACGGGACAGCAGGGGCGACGGGACAGCAGGGGCAACGCGACGGGACGGGACAGAAGGGGCGATGCGACGGCAGGCGCAACGAGTGCTAGGGTGCGAGAGAGACGAGCGCGATAGGCGCTAGGGGGCAGTACGGGCGTAACGGGCACTAGGGTACGGAACACGCTCGGGCGCTACGGACGTGAACGAGAGGAACGGGATCCCACAGGATCCTAACCTAGGTGATACCATGTCAAGAACGGAATGATCATTTCACTAAGGTTGGTTGGGGTACATAAACCTAACCCTAACTGTTGTACCCCATATGACACACATCACTAAGACTATAACATCTGACAGCAGAGAACGAGGCAGCCTAAGGCGGAGCACGGGCACGCTTTTCTCTGCTGGGTGGTGTGCGCTACATAGGCTAGGTGATTACGGAGCGACGGCGTGACTACGGAGCGGTGGAGTGTACTAGGCTAGGATAGGCTAGGAGCAGGCCCTCAGATATCAGCGTAAAACACGCTGATTGCGCTGATTTTGTAGCTCAGATTTTCGTTTTCCCTGGAAATTCAGCATATGCTTCAATTTTGCACTGACATTTCAGTATAACCTATTTTGTCACACTGACCATTTTGCGTGTTACTGTACAAGTAACACTCACGAATCAGTATAGTGTACCGAGTCACACTGATTCGGACATGATAGGGTATGGGTGTACAGGGGGTGTTCAAACCAGGATTCCCGCAAAAACTCACTCACGGCCCCCTCAGGTAGTTCCCGCCTACGAGAATCGAACCCGAGACCTTCGCGATCACAAGACATAATCCAAACCGCTTTATTTACAATGTATATGTGTACAAAAGATACAGACGGATTGGGACACCACTTTGGACACTGCACACTGATCGATCAGCATACCCTGAAACCAATCTGAGGGCCTGGCTAGGAGCGTACCTACTCATGATACCATCTCAAGAGTGATGCATAGCGGAATGGATGAACTAGAAAGTGGATGGGGTACAAATGTGCAAATCTAAGAGCTGTACCCCCTAGAAGGCACCTCACTACAGCCTAACATTGTTATTATTTGACAATAATCTCCGCAAGTCCGCACGAATGCGTGGCGTGGCATGGTTCTAGCTAGGAAACCAGAGCCTGAACTCAGACATGGATTTAACCCACTGTGAAGGAGGAAATGAGTGATGCATCTTTGGTTCGCAGACTCTTGAACCAGTGTTCAGAGATTTTCCCCAGAATGAGGAATGAACGTGTGAAACGTTTCAATAAATAAACAAATCGTACAGAGATGTACACAAATCCAGAGTGGTCGTCATCTGTGTTGCATACCCAGCAGGTAACATCGAGTTTTATGACCCGTTTGAGTATTTAGAAAGCTCTTCCCGAGTACTGTTTGTGTATGGCGGCATTAGGAGCACACGCATCAGCGCTGCGCCTGGATGAATGTAGTCGGCACGCACGGCGGGCGGAGCGGGTATGTACAGCTGCTCGGACTGCGGCGGCGCAATGAAGAATAAGACGTTTCGATGCTGGAAAACGCCGAGCACGGCGGGAGGAACGAGGTATGTACAGCTGCGCGCACTGCGGCGTTGCGCGGGGAGACACGACCGGAACATCGCTGCGATATAACACGGGCAGCGCAGGCGGCTTCACCACTCGTCGTCGCCGCCATTCCAGCGCTGCTCGCACGACGCCCACCGCGTCAGGCGGTTAGCGGCCATCGCTTGCCTCCTGGCGCTGCGACCGCTATTGCTGCTGCTGCGGCGGGTGCTGCGCGGCAATCTCTGAGCGCCCATTTCGAGCGGAGCTGAATGCGCACGAGGGATCTCGCCCCGCCCCGCTGCCGCTTCGTGACTGTGACTGTATCGAGACGCCGTTCTCCTTCCTCTACCCGACTCCCAGTCATCTCGCAGCTCGTCGCCGCTGCTCTCTCCCTCGCTCACGAACGACTGTAACATGGTAACAAACTGTTCGCAGCGGATCGCATTGAGTTCGCGCTGCGCGTCGAGCAGCGAGAGCCGGCCTTCCAGCGCGAGCAAATCGAGATCCGCGTGATTATCGCGCTCGCGGCGAGAGAGAGGAACTTGATCTGTCTGACACGTGGCGAGCACAGCCCGTGATAGTTGAAATGGGATGTCGAGGTGTGAGCGAGGTCTGAGCTCGGTCGCCGCCATCGCCATTAGTGGTCGGATGGAAAACCTAGAGGACGCTGTGTGCGCCGGCCGTCACGGAGAGGGCTGATGCTGTGTGTTGTACAGATGAGAAGTAACTTGATCGTAGCTTGAAGAATAGACACACGGAAGGCGATTAAAATAGGGATCTAAGATGAGAGCACGCGTTATTGCCGTGGGAAACCGCCCTGCTGGTGGGTCCTCTCGGATGGGCTGGGAGTACAAGGGGACTCGACTCGAGCCCCACGGCACAGTCCAGTGTCGCGCCGCGAAGTACAGTGTCTGCCGCACCTCAATTGGCTCCCTGCCGTAATGCAGCGGCTACCCAGATCAAGCTCAAACGGGGAAATCCTCCGTGAGGGAGGCAAGCGGAGGGACACGATGGGATACGACGACTCGACGCCTTCGATCTGCTTCGCCATCACCTCTTGCCGGAGCACCTGGATTCGAGTGCCCTCCACGTGCACGCCCCACAAGGCTCGAACTTTATGCGATGCGCTCCCTCATCTTCCGCTCCCATGTCCACATACACCCTAGCCTCGCACTGCCCGCACAGTGGGATGCATCAAATAACATCAGATCTGGATAAGGAAAGGTGAATACCTGAGGCAGTTAGAGGGTAAGGCTGCCATTTTAACCACACAGATTGCACTGCTGAAGCAACCAATCCGTGTATAGCGGAAGCAATTAGAGAACCAAGTAAACCGCCAATCCTGAAAGCTAGGTAAGAATGCTGACGGTAATAGGCCACGCCTTGTGATGATTCCATCCATGGCGCCACCGAACAGGAAGGCACAACACAAGCTGGTTGCAAGCTGGAGCCTCTTGCTTCCCTCAGCTTGCGAGAGCAGGAAACGGGCGACGCAAAG